TAGCATCAGGACCCTTTGGAAAGGGGCAAAAGGACATCCCCTGGAGAATTTGGGGCTGCGACAGCTGAATGATGAACACACATGGCTAGCAGCAGTGCCTCTCATCTCATTTGCTTTGTATCATTTCATTTGATAAAAGAGCTGGACGCTTACAATAATCACCGATAATTAGCATTTGCAAGGCTTGAGATCGCCCGGGTCCTTTCTCTGCTTATGTGCCTTAAACTTACAATCTATCAATGATGTGGCTTTATATATCGATTATGATTTGTATTCTGGGAAGGCCCTCCTTGCTCAGAGATCTCTATTGTGGTGGGTGCTGTATAAATGTGCAAGCTTTTGTGTTCAGTTAAGTAGTTCACAGGCAGATGAAGGATCTTATCTGTGTAAAGTTGTTTTTTTAATATTAGCATTTAAAACAAATGGCTTGATTTTACCTTAAACAGTCTCACTGTGAAGCGCTAAGTGCTGGCTGATGTCGGATCAGAGGCTCCCAGGGGAATGGAAATTGGAACAAATAAATAGGACGGGGACACAGAGCTGTTGTTGATGCAAGACACGGGGAAGGGAGGCAAAAATATACCCCTCCTAATCCCAGGGGCTTTTTGAGGAGGAGTTTGGCCGAGTGGAGAAATTGGAGCTGCTTCCACGTTGCTCAAAGTTAAGCGTGCTGAAAAGCTGCTGGAGGTGGAACCAGGTTGTAGCCCCTGGAGTGCAGATCATAGACCATTTTTGCATTGCAATGTTTAAGGCATTGGCTGGAAAGCTATTTACAGCCTTGTAATAAGAGGTAAATCTCGGTATTGATGCTAATACCCCTTGTGAATGTACACAGCGATATTTTTCCCCGGTCCATGTGGAGGCAGGATTTTAGAAAATAAAATGCTCCAGGGCTGGATTCCCTCGCAGTTACACCACTGTAACATCCTGGACTCGAGATGAGCGGCTTTTGCTTTCAACCATTTGAAGAGGAGAATCCAGTCCTAAACGTTGCACACATGAATAATAGATGGCGCTGTGTTTGTCAGCCGCATTCGCATAAAAAACATGCAAACACAAATTCCCTTTGGTTCCCATCATGTAAAGAGGCCGCTGGGTGAATTTTCGCTGGTTTAATGCCAGGGACCAAGCAGGATAATACTGTGAAAAATAATGTATCTAATAATCTCACCCTTTTTGTGTTCAGTTATATTCTTCACTTCTCCATCCCTGCACAACCACCTTTCACTTAGGTGGGTTTTTTTTTATGAGGGAGAAGAATTCCACCTCGTAGTCGCTTGCCCGACCTTTTCATGTGATTTTTGCAATGCATAGATTTGTTGTTTGCTCTGTGAAATGAGTCGTTGCATTTTCAGCATGTGGATCCTAGCTTGGGAGGCCACTTGGGGGGTTAGGTTTAAAAAATAAAGTGGAATTCAGCGTAAAATTGGTGATGGATAACAGGGCTCCTGGGATGGGATTCAGCTGCTAATTAAAGGTCTTATTATGCGAGCATGATTACAGCGGTAAAAAGCTGGGAGTATCTGCAGAGAAGTCAGTGGGGTAACACTGGAGCCAATGTTGGGGTTTGTACTTTTGGGGACAGTTGCTTTGCGCTGTTTAGTCATTTATGCTAGTACTGGGTGAGTTTTGGAGGTTGCTAGTAGTAGCACTTTATTTCATTTCTTATTGCTGTGATTAATCAGGTGCCAGGGCAGCAATGAGCTCAGCCCAGAGGTCCTGATTCTTCTCTGGGTTTAAGCCTTATCTTCATTGCAAAATAGCTCACACACCTTATCTACCCTTTTCTCTATCTCCAGGTAAAGACATGCTGAAGACAAGGTCCTTTGGTTTTGCCACAAGATAAACTTCGGCAAGACCAGCACTATGGCCTTGCATGGGACTGGTTTTTCTTGCAGTAAAATTAAAGTGCCTTGTCCTCGCTGTGCCACTCCAAAGTAAAAAAAGCACACCTGTTCTGGTAGTAAACTCCAGGCCCTGAGGCCAAAGCCTGAAACCCTTTCTCTGTTGAATTTAGCAGAGTTATTCCAGTGGGATTTGAAGAGGTAAGTGATGAGAAGCATAACACAAAGCAGCCTTTCTTTGATAATCTTGCTTGGCGATAAAGGGCCCAATTGTCTTACAATAAAGTCGCTTTATACTGCTCAGCAGTATAGCGAATGTAATTCCCCCTTGGCTGCCTGCTCTGAGTACCACTGTGGTGCTGAATTACACCGAGACCCACTTTTAAATACCTTGTACCCTGCCAGGATGGAATAGCAGAACCGTAGCGTAGTGGAATATCACGCCCAGGATGAACAACTCAAGTTCAAGTGAAAAAAAGGACAAAAATATATATTAAAAAAAAAAAAATCAGGCAAAGTTTGACTTATGTCCCAGATTTCTTCCGCCGTGAACACAACCCTCCATTTGTAGTTATGGGAGCGAAATACAACTGAAAATCAGGCCCAAGGTAGAAGGACGCAGTTCAGTAACTTCTGAAACTGCGGCTGTAAGAACATGGGTAGCAGGATAGATGTGACGTTTCCTGACTCCCACTTCAGTAAAGCATCAGAGCATCCCTCCCCTTTAGATTTCATGGGACACCTCGAGTGTCTTCTGTATGCGTGAGTGCATTACTGTATTCTGCTGAGTGTTTTAAGCCAGGAAAATGCTTTCCAGCATTTATAGCAATACTTTCCCAGATTCACAGGGGTGAGCATCGGGGGCTGGGCGAACAACTCTTCAGCAAAGCGCAAACCAGGAGCAACGGTCATAAGCTCCTAGGAGAAGGTTTCAGACTGGATATAAGGAAAAACTTCACGGTCCGTGTGACCAGACTCTGGAATAGACTCCCAGGCAGGGTGGTGCAGGCACCTACCCTGGAGATCTTCAAAAGGAGACTGGGCGCATACCTCGCTGGGGTGATTTGACCCCAGCTGTCTTCCCTGCCCAGAGCAGGGGGGCTGGACCCGATGGTCTCACGAGGGCCCTTCCAGCCATAAACCTCTGTGAATCTGTGCATTGTCACTGCAGCAGCTGATCTGCAAAATAGAACCTGGGAAAGGGAAAGTTTGTCGAAACATTTCCTCCGAGTCCATTTTGCAGATTAAAATATGTCTGAATGTGTCACTTGGTAAGAAAAGGGTTATGAGAAGAATAAAGACTGTGTGCTTCACATCAGTCATGAGACATCATAGGGGAGTGGGGTAAATGGATCACTGCAATCCTACTTGTGCAGCTATGCTTAACCGTCGCAGGGCCATAAGAGGCCTCAGGAGAAAGTCTAGTCCAATCCCCTGCTCCAGGCAGGATCTTGCCTGTTCAACCCAGCCCAGACGCATGTTTTTCTAACCTGCACCCAATGCTAACACCTGATTCAGCACCCACCCGTGTCAGCGGGAACCTTTCCATTGTTGTCAGGTGGGTGCTGGACCTGACTCCAAGACCCTTTTCTAGGTCCCTCGCTTGGGTGCAGTAGATGCGCCAGCCTCCACAAATGTAGGCTCTTCTTTTCAGGAAGAGTCGCCTACGGGCAGGTGCCTGGCACCTATCTCAGCTAGTTATGCCAGACGAATATGATGTGCATCAGCAGCAAGGCACCCAAGGGGATGTCTGCTCACGTCAAGTGTTTGGGTGGCTGAGACATCAGAACGCATTTTTTCACTGGACGTACGCTTGGGTTGGTATGGGGTCCAGGCAGCTCGCACAAGGACCCTGTTTACCACACTCCCTAAACACATGCCTGACACTAAACGTGCGCATTGAAAATGCAAACGCACAAGTCGCCAGTCCCTTGAATTGCGTATTTGGAGGTTTTTTGCCTTTTATTCGCTCCCGATCGAACTCTCACTGCAGACTCACGGGGCACTGGACCTGCGATACGTTTCTTGACGTATCTTGACTGCAAGGCTGATCTAGGTAATGAGGCTATTTAGCAGCCTAGTTTGGGGGGATTGTTAGTAAGAAGATAGGTTTTGTTAAAGTTGTGGCACAGCAGCTTAGCTAATGAATCCTTCTTCATAATGAATGACCCTGGAGGCTGGCCATTGTGTACACCACATATGGGAGACAAATAAAGTGCCAGAATAAGGAATAAATGTATTGAAGTAGCAAAAATGACTTAGTTGGAGGGTGGCGTTTGTGCAGAGATGCTTCTGAAGGACTGATAACGAGCTTTGAACGAAGCCTTTTAATGACTCCAAGAATGCTGCCATTAGTCCATGCTGTGGTCTAGTCCACGTGTTTTTAATTTACCATGATACTTAAAACATCTCTGCACCTAGCAGATTATTCTTCCTGCTAGCAAACGCTACAATCCAGTGCATGCGCCAGACAGCGTGGGCCAGACGTGTCATCTAGCGTAAAACAAGCAGAGCTCATTGACATCAGAAGAAACACACTGATTTACACCACCTGTGGCTCTCTCCCTATAAATATAAACCAGAGGGGATTCAGCTCGGAGTCATTATGTCTGTGACATTTATAGCATCCAGCCCTTAGCGGATAAAGTCTAGGGAGTTGGATGAGCGAGAGTAATGCGCGAGTGACAGACAGTCAGCAAAGCAGCCTACGCTGAAGGCAAGATCAGTCCTCTTGCCAAAGCCCTAGTCTCTGTCTTCAGAGACTTTTTCAGATCAAGACACAAGGATGGTAATTGTGGCTGTCAGAACATGAGCGCCAGACAGCCTTGCCCTAGAAAGATGGTGTGAGAGTCGGTAGGGCCCAGGAGACGGGGCGTTAGGTTGGCAGCTTGGGCTCTATTTCCAGCTCTGCAGCTGACTGGGTTACATGGCCTCGGGTGAGTCTCTTCACCTGTCCTGCTTCTGCCTTGCGTGCTTAAAATAGATGGTGAGCGATGGTCTGTGAGCACAAGGCTTAGTAAAATGGGGCCTCAGTGTTTGGTTGGGGCCTTTAGGTTCTTCATTGCAAATAAATAATTGGATGAAGCACTGCAATGAAGATCACTTGGGCATTTCCCGATTGCTTTATCTCTTCTTTCCTTATTCTTTTTTTTCCAGAAATTGGCAGCAGAATGCCAGAGCGCAGGCTACCCTGGTACCCTCATACCCTATAAGTGCGATCTGTCCAACGAAGAGGAGATCCTGTCTATGTTCTCTGCAATCAAGACGCTGCACCAGGGGGTGGACGTGTGCATCAACAACGCCGGCTTGGCACGCCCAGAGCCCCTTCTTTCTGGGAAGACGGAGGGCTGGAGGACAATGATAGACGTGAGTAGCACGTGTGGGATGGGACGGGCGATGAGCCAGGCAGAGCGGTGGTATTTTTTTTTATATATTGACCAGACATCTGATAATCAGGCTTGCTCTCTGAGCTGGTCTCCTCCTAGATGACTGCTCTCCTCCTTCCGTTCCATGGATGAGTGCTTGTATATACGTAGGCAATTCGTGGCATGGTAGTAAAAGTATAGTGAGGCACCGCTTTGTGGTTTAAGTTGCAGGATTGAAGCTTCAGATCTGGGTTTGGTTCCTTTCAGTAGTGGAAATCTGCCTGCCACAGGGCCAGAATTGCTTGTGAGACATCTCAGTGCCCAAGGGGCACTCTCTGATTTCCCCCCTCTCCCGGAGATTCACTTCTTTTTGGATTTAAACAATTGGAAATGACAAAGACCAAAAATCGCCCAGACCGAAAGTGTGTGATTTTGCTTGTGGGTGCAACACGTACCGGGATATGCGTGCCCTGACTTAGTGGTGGCATTAATTGTCCATGTGATAAAACAGGATGTCCAAATTTTATCCAAATCGGGGCCACATTGGCAGCTTGCCTTGTGGCTGCACCTGATTTGAATATAATGGACTTTGTTTGTGCTGCACTTTTACTATAGAGGCAAAGTCTATGTAACCACAAGTCTTTATATGCAGTGATCCGTCTTGAATCTGGCTTCTGAATTTGGCTCATGATTTTTGACCTGTTCGATACAATTTGAATATGTATAAAAATAGCTGTGGGTTTTCCTTCTTCTCTGAATGGCTGGATTTGACCATTACGATCTCACAGCCTAGAAGTCCTCATTTTCTGAATGCACTGGAGCCAGGTTTGGTCTGGCAGGGAGGTTTTGCCTTCTCTGTAAGAATAGATCCAGCAGACAGAGATACTCGGTGTGTCTGCATGCCCGTAGCAACATGAGGTTTAGTTCTGCTGCACTTTCTGAAACTTTTTAAAAGGGTGTGTTGTAAAAGAGGCTGCCAGCTCTTTTCATGGGCCAGTGAGTCCCTGCCAAGCGGAGAACAGAATGTGGAGAACAATTTCTTCCAAAGGTCTGCTGGGGGGGGAAGCGTTAGCAAATGTATTTTATTTTGAAGGATGTCATACAAGCATTTCAAAATCCTCCTGTGCCAATGGAGAAGAAAAAAAAATCCTTAAACAGTCATTGATCCATTGTTTTTTTTTATCCTGGACTTCAGGTTTCTCTGGTCAGCCACATCCCCTTTATGGTTGCAACAGCACTGAGCCTGCTGTTGCCACTTAACAAATATAGTCCAGGAATGAGTTGTGATTCTACCATACTTGGGTGCAATTTAAGCTAATCACTCCATATGAGGACCCAGGCTAAAACCAGTGTGGTGCAGATCATCCCATGTCTGTCTACTGCAAGGTTGCTGTGCCTGTGTCTAGCATCTGGATTTGGATGTGCTCAGAAACAGGGATGCTGGACCTTTGGGTCTGATTTAGCCTGGCTGTTCCTAGGCTCCTACTTCTGTGAAGTCTGGAAGGTGCATCAGGGCCAGAGGGCTGGCTTACGGTTTGACAGACAGCCTCTTTATGCTGTTCTTGTCGCACTTCCCCTCCCTGAAAAATACCTACAAACACCTCTGGGGAGAGGGCCTCATGGGATGGTTCAGGGTTAGGGGTGCAAGGATTCTGCATTGATCCTGCCTCCAGCCCCTGGCGTGGGGAACAGATCAGAGGTAAGTCAGATGTCACGGGAGCGTATTTGCATTATAGCTATTTCCTGCATCCCAAGGTCCAGGGTGGAGGTGTAGGAATAGGTAGGACCTGGGCTGAGCAGGTTTCTGCATGACCTCAGGGGATGGAGACTGTAAAGATGCTTGAAAGTTACCCCCCAGCACTCTGGCCTCTGACACAGGTGTAGAGTAACTGGGAATCCAACCCGAAACTTTCACTCATTCCTCGGTTGGTTGCACTCCGACTGAGTTCAGCGGGAGTGCGTCTCAGGGAGGACCTCTAATTTGGCTAGGACCTCTAATTCAGCTTGGATTGCACTGCAGTTTTCCTTGTCCCCTGTTCCCTGCCCCCCTCCGGGTCTGTTTTCTGTAGTGGCACTTTCTCGCTGGTTGGGTGGGCAGAAAAATGGCCTGATGCCAGCCCATTGCTGAGATCTAGTTACAGGGAGAGGAATGCTGCGACAGCATATTGCTGAGCTGCTGCTTTTGGGGAATCCCAGCGAGTTGCCCGTTTCTTTGATGACGCTAGGTAAAATCACGTCCGAGCTGGGAAATGAGTGTGATCCGAAATGAGAAATGTCTGATCGCGTACAACATGAATCAAAGCCTAAGTCTGTACTGACACGGTGGGAAAGCTTTGACAAGCGTAGGGGCAGGTCCATTGCAGGCAAATAGTGGCATGACTCCGTTCACGTCAATGGGGCTATGTCAGTTTGACACCAGTTAAGGATTTAGCCTATAAAAATCTTAGGTAGGATAAAAATGACAAGTTCTTGCTTGGCATGGTTTATTCCCACATACAAAGCTCCAGGACTTGGAATGAGCTAGTGGTGGGATTTTTTTTAAAGTGTTTTAAGGGACTTTAGAAAATCATTGAAACTTCATTTCTAAGTAACTGGGAGCTGCTGAAAATCCCGTGCACGTGTCCAAGCCTGATGCCGCTGTGCATGACCACCACCCATAAATTGGTAATCTCAAGATGAATTTGTGCCAGCTATCACCTGTGACACATGCCCCATCTGTCCTTGGGCACAGTGCCTGCCATTCCTGGGATCTGTGCTCAAATCGGCGGAGGGTAAAGTTTAGCACCCAGTCAAAGATCCAGACTTTCAGAGTAGGCAAGAGCCACCGTCTTGTACGATGCCAGCTGGCACTCCTGGTTTTCAGACCCCTGGTACAGTGATTTTAAGACTGAAATGGGGGAACCCACTCAGTGCTAGTGCTAATTCATGTCCTCCAAAGGGAGGCGAGGAGCCCATGACCCACCTCTCGTGGCCCCTCCGGAGCACCCCCAAAGAACCGTAGCCACTAGATCCTCTTCCTCTTTCTCTTCTTCCTCTGTCTTGGTTTGAGGTTTCTGTCCTCCATCTGCTCTGGAGTAAGCAGCGCTGGTGCTGTGTACACACCTTGCTTTACAGGTTAGTGTTTGAACAGCTCCTTCGCATTTTACCTACTGACCTTTGTGGTCGGGAATTCATGCTGAACTTCCATCCGCTCCCTCCGGGCTCCGTTCCAGAAGCAGGGGATTACCACGCACGCTCTGTCACATTCGATAACCAGCGCTCGTCGCTGAGACCAAGCGGGCCCTGGCTTTGCTTCTTCTAACAGTCATTCGCTGACCAACAGCATATTTTCTTGTTTGCACTGGAGTTTTAAAGCAAGAATAATGCGACTTTTCTGGGACCGAAATTTTCTTAAGTGACGGCCAGGGCACTTATGACCTCAGTGGGGGCTGATTATCGGAGGTATGGTGGGCAGAATAAGGCATGGGTAAGCATGTCGGAGTGGTGCACACTTAGTGCAACCCCATGTGCAACTTGTGATTATGGCTGGGTGATGTTACCTCCCGCAGCCCGCGGTGACAATATGGGGCCCGGCCAGCTAAAGAAGTTCTCTTTCAGCTTGAGTCATAGAGACCCGTGTGGAAGATCAGGGTTTCTGCCCCAGTTCCCTCCCACAGATGTGTACCATTTATATTAGTTACCTGTTGTCTTCAGTGCATAGATTAATTGCAATGGACTTGGGCCTGGAGCGAGCAAGAGAAAGGAAAGCAATGTAGGATTTTTTTTTTATTTTTTTGCCTTTTTATTCAATTTTAGGCTTTGGTTTCTATGGTAGTGACACCTTGCCTTCTATCGTGCCTTCCCCCGGAGGGTGTCAAAGCATTTCCCGGACACAAATCTGCCTGTAAAACATCATGCACTTTCATGGTATTTTCTAAAATAATTAAGCTTTGCAAGACTCAGGAAGGCAGGGAAGTATTGCAGCTCCTTTCTTTTGTGTGAGAAACCCAGGCACAGAAAGGCAAAGCAATCTCTTCAAAGGACCCATGGCGAGCCTGCGGTAGGAGCAGGCTTCCCAGTGCAGCCGCCGGACAAGTGACCCACTGGGACACATCGCGCAGCTGTTGTGCTCAGGAAGTTGCATGTAGTATTGAAATAATGCGGTGATTTGGGTAGATTTACATCAGCTGTGAAGCTGGCTAGGAGACGGGTGCATTATTTACTACGGCCCAGAAAGGGGTTACTGCCATTCAAAGCACTTTGTGCTAATAGAAGCCAGGACCTATACAGTATCCGAAAGGTGCGCTCCTTTTTTAATGTAAGACGTTAGACAGCCCTCGTTCGCTTTCCGTCACCTTGCTAATGGCGAAATCAAATGGATTTCAAATATCTTGGCTGTTCTGGGCTTTATTCCAGCGCTGAGATCATTGCACTGGGCAGTTTTTCCTACAATCTCCGGATACTTTCTCACCCGTAAAACTGAGACGAATTTGTAGCCCAGCGTGTGGAGGTTTAACCCCATAGCTCTCCATGTGACGGCACTGTGTTTGCTAAATCCTCAAGTGAGGCTTACATGTTCAGCCGTGAAATGCTTCTGCTGTTGTAGTTATTATTTTGCTTGCTGTTTGTATTGCGGTTGTGCCATGGAGTCCTCCTCACTGGCCAGAACCCAGTTGTCCAAGGATGATGCAAACTCTGGACATATAAAGAGCGTCCCTGCCCCGATCGCCTTATAATGAGAAATAAATATTTGCTTTTATTTTCTTATAACTCAGAAACAGCCCAAAGGACTTTCCTCCACTGACCTTAGGAGATCTAAATGATATTCGCTTGGGTCAAACAGGGAATATATAGTTCTTATTCAGGTAACAAACCTATAGATTATGCAACAAACCAGCTGCGTGTCACAACTGCCCTCTACCGGGCAGAGTCAGAAGTGCTTGACCATGTGTCTGTGTCTACACTGGGGACAGCTAATGGAGAGCCTCTTCTGTCCCAAGCGGTGACAGCTAGCGTTTTGGATCTGGAAGACCGGAGTTGTCTCTTGTGAAGTTCAGGACGGCTGGGGAGTCCCATGAGGCTCTGGATTTGTTGCAGCAGTTAGACAGGTTACAACCACTCTTTCTCCCAGGACTGGTTTTAAAATGTTGGCTGGGATCTTTAAACCAGGCTTGTTGGTTTTGGCTTCTGGATGGTTTCCTGAATGATTGGGCAACCACACAGGCACAAGTCGGGAGCAAATTTCAATATCGTTCAGGCATAAATCAGGAGCAGATTTCAGTATCGTTCAGGCATAAGTCAGGAGCAAACTTGTTCAAAACTTACCAGAATGAGCTTAGATGGCATGTCCACTGCTTTGGGCCTTGGTCTCATTCCTGCTCTGCTGTTTCAGGTCAATGTTATGGCTGTAAGTATCTGCACCCGAGAAGCTTATCAGTCCATGAAGGAAAGGAGCATTGATGACGGTCATATCATTAACATTAACAGGTAAGGGAGACTGGGTTTTGGCGAGCACTGAGCATCTGCTGTTTGTTGCCTGCCTTTGCTGTTTCTTTTTTTTTTCCTTTGCTGTGCACCACAAAATGATCACCCCAAAATAACCAGTTGGAGCTCAGTTAGCATCTTACTGGGATATTTTTCTGTGTTTGTTTTCAATACCCAAGAGACTGACTAGTGTTAATGACTAGTTGCCTGTTTTATCTCCTCGGTAATGGGCACCACCTCGGAGCTGCTGCTTCTCCAGGTAAGGCTGCTTATTGTGCTGCTGTGCACACAGGTTAGGGACATAGATACCACA